TAACCACAGAGCTACCAACCAGACGTTTTTTTTTTTTTTCTTTTAATTTTGAGACAGAGTCTCTCTAAGTTTCTTAAGACTTCTCACTAAGTTGCTGACCTTGGTCTTGAACTTGTGATCCTGCTGCCTCGGCCTCCTAAGTCACTGGGATGACGGGCATGAGCCACCAAGCCTGACTCTACCCCACATTTTATTGGTATTTCCTAGTCTACACTATGACTTCTTCTTAGTAAAAGAAAGCCTTGCTGTAGAACACTATGCCCTGTGCTGCCAGCAGCAGTCTCATACATTTGTATCCACTGTGTGTCCTGATGGAGTCAAGAGGCCACATGGACTGACTGACCTTCACTCGAAGATGTCCACTCAACAGCATGATAGCCTCATGCATCAGTCAGAACACATCCCTGCCTTTAAGTGATGCATGATTGAACTTGTGAAATTCTGAAGACCCAGAGTAACATGAGCTTCCCACTACCTAGAAACATAGACACCATTTGATGTCCAGCTTCCTAGGTGGCCTTTCACAAAAGAATCATTTCTTTGACCAAATGTCATCTGCACTTCTCGAGGATGTGGAGACACCCGCTCCCCCGCCCCCGCAATGTCAGTATGGCAGAGCAGAAGTCACACCAGTTCTGTCTGAGCCCAAGACTTGGCTCTTTACTTCAATGCCAAGCTGCTTCCAAGTCCAGGTGGCTGGATTTGAGGATCTGTGCTAGGAGGGAACCCAGTGGCACAGCCTCTACTGGAAAGGTATTGGGGTGTTTAGTAATGGAACTTTGTGGTAGAAGCATGGCAAGACAGCAAGGGGACAATGTTCAGGTGTTGGCTGCCAGAGCTGATATTGCTGTGCCCTATGGCATTCTTCCAATCCAAACCACTCAACCTGGGATTTACCATAATCCACCCCTCCTCTTGTCAAGGGGTTTACAAATTCCAAGAAAGGAACATTTGGGATGTTCTGGAGGCAAAGAACTAGAGTAGGAAGAGCATAAGCCACAGGGCGGAATGTGTCCTGGGTGCCGGTCCCTGAAAGGTTCCCTTAGATGCTCTAAAGCTTCCCTTCAGAAAGGGTTTACAGGCAGATTCATCTTTAGTTGTAATTTTTGATTTTGTTAGAAGGGATTGAACCCAAGGGCATTCTGCCTCTGAGGTATCCCCCCAGACCTTTTTATTTACAGAGAGGTTCTCAATGAGTTGCCTAGGTTGACCGCTTATTTGTGATGCTCCTGCTTCAGCCTCCTGAGGCTCTGTGATTTCAGGCATATGCCCCAGAGCTCAGCTCATTCATCTTTATGAGTAACAGAAAGTCATTCCTAGGACATGTGCCTATATGACAGAGGAACAAAGTGTTTGTGACTCCATGAGTTCACAGAAAAACGGAGCACCCCTTCCTCGGGGGGGACTCCTCTGTCTAGGTCTCAAAAAGCAGACCTGGCCTAGGAGACCTATTGCATCCACATTTGTAGGCTGTGCTCAGCTCTAAGAGCAAACTTCCTACTCATAGATGCTTCCTGTTGCACACATGTTGGAACCTTAGCTCTTATCTACCTTTCACTCACCATGATTTATCTACCCTCCTCCCAGTGCCCTCCATCTGTCCAGAACTTCTGTGAATAGTAGTATTAGCCCCTCTGGGAGGAGATTTGGAGGGCATCCCCAGGGCTTCATTGTGCAGTCCATGTGGGCCTCTGGGGAGGACCTTCTGCTGGCTCCTAAGAATCTGCTCTCCTTTGCACAGCACCCCACACTCAGCACCAGAGCAAGAAAGAACCCCATCTTCTGTTGCTGGCCCATGTGCTAAGCCACTGTTGCCTTTATCTCTCCCGGCCTGACCTGCTTTCCCTGCACAAAAATAGTTTCTCTCTGGGTCAATCTGCATCCTTCCCTTCCCCTTTTTCCTTCTGGTGAGCTGCAGCCAGAAGACTGTTCTGCCTACTTCATTCACCATTGCAACAACCTAAAACCACCCTATCTCTGTGGATCACACTTTATGTTCATCTTCACCCATGGGGTGCTCCTCTTGCAGTTCCTTTTAAAGTTGAACAGTAGGATCTATGTCCTTTTGGTCCCACTGCTATTTCTCCGTTCTTTACCTCCCCATCTCCCACAGATCCTCTTTGGCCTGTGCTATTTTGAGTCTGTGCCACATTATTTATCACTCTCTTTCCCAACAAAGCAATGTTCTCTGTACAAGTTACCTATAAAACAGGGAAAATTTCAAACACAGATTCTATTGAAGACCACTCAAAGTTGCTGACCAGCACCTCCAACATTCTGGCCCAGGAATTTGTTTTCTTAAAACACCCACCAGGGCTGGGGATATGGCTCAGTGGTAGATTTCTTACCTAACATGTATGAGGCCCTGGGTTCAATCCCTAGCATCACAAAAAACAGCAACAAAACTCCCTAGCCGATCCTTCTGGTGTAATTAATACATAAATATTGTAATCCATTCAACTATGTAATCACAAACACAATCTTACATTGTCAGAACCTGGGTAATTGAAAGTAAGTGCATTAGAAACAGATGTTCATTTTACAAGAGTGTGTTCCAAAGTGTGTTCCAAAAAGCATCATCTAGCTCTGAGACAGGATCTTGCTAAGTTGCTTAGGCCTTCATTGGTTGCTAAGGCTGGCTTTGAACTTCCAATTTCTCCTGGGATTATAGGCATGCATCACCACACTGGCCCATGGACAGACTTTCCAGGGTCAAATAGGGATGGCTGTCACTCAGGTCTTTGAATCTGATACATATAAGATGTAAAGTAGAAAGAAAATCTTGACATATCTCTCTTCTCCCATATGCTAGATATATTATTCAATTAAGAATGTGTCTAGAAGGGATTAAGCAGAGTTTTACTCAACAATAAAAAAGAATGAAAATATGACATTTTCCACTAAATGGGTGAATGGACTTAGAGATCATTGTGCAAAGTGAAATAAGACAGACTCAGAAAATTCAAAGTCTAATGTTTTCTCTCATATGGAGATGCTAGAGGAAAGTAAGGGAACAAAGGAGGGAGATCAGATCTCAGGAGGATAGAGGGAATATCAGTGGAGTACAGGAAGGAGATTGAGGGGGGAGGGAAGATGAATGGAAAAGGAAGGAAATGCAGAATTTTGAGGGCCACAGCCGAGTCGGGATGACGCATGGCATTTTTGCCAGAAGTAGTGGTTCAGAGGCAATGCCAGCAAGCCATTAAGATGATGACTTTTGAATTCTCAAGGATTTCCCCTTGAGTTCCCTTTGAGCTCTCCCGGGGATTCCTGAAGAGTTCTCATTGGTTGGGGAAGTGTCGGAGGAGGGATTTCTGGTTGGTGGTTGCTGGAGGAGCCTGGTAGGTGGCATTCGGGAGAGTTCCGGGGAGCGTGTGTAGAGTGTGCTGCTGGAGTTCAGAAATAAAGTTTGTTCCTCTTGAGTGGCTTGTGATTTGTGCCCAGCCAGACTGCGGCAAGAATTAATTTGACAAAATTATTCACAGAGAGGGGCTGGGGTTTAGCTCAGTGGTAGAGCACTTGCCTAGCAGGTGTGGGGCCCTGGGTTCTATTCCCAGCACCACATAAAACTACGTAAACAAAATAAAGGTATTGTGTCCATGAACAACTAAAAATATTTTTTAAAAAATTTACAGAAAATTCCACCTCATGGGTATCTATAAAGCACCAATTAAAAAAATAAATAGAAGAAACACCAATGGAGTAGAGGAAGGGGAAGAACCAGGAGGCACTGCGGACTGAAATGGAGTAAATTCAATTCAATTCATGTATTATTATGTCAAAATGAATCCAACTATTATGTGTAACTATAACACACACACAAAAAAAACATTTTTAAAAAGAGTGTAAGAGTCTGTAATCCTTTTTATGAGTAAAAAATGAGAATATAACTGTTGACTAAAAAAGCAAGAGGTTTGAGTGACGAGTAGCCCTTGCTGCTCCAAGTAGCATCCAGAAAAAGGAAGGGGTAACAATCAATTTCATTTGGTTTCAGGCACAGAATCAGACTTTCTCTTTAACCCAATTTAGAGAGTTTTGTAAATGATATTCCTTTCTTTAGGCTGAACTATGGTGCCCAGAATTCTCTTTCTAGAATGTTTTTGGTTAAGGTAAGTAATGAGAGGTTTTCTCTTGAGAGCTGGTGACTGTTCACATACATACAAGCCTTAGCCTTGCCGAGCTCTTGTGGGAGCCTTGGAACTCAGTTCCAGCACCAGCTCCTGCAGAGCAGGGCTTACTTGGCTGAGATTCACAGTGAAAGAGGCCAGATATTGACACTCCCACCCTGCAAAATCCACAGGGTAATATAGCTCAAAGTGCTCTCCCCAACTTTCACCTGCCTGGATGCTTAACCCTTCCCAATTGGGCTCCCATTTTCCCACTGCAGATTTTACCTTCATAATGCTTTATTATAAGCTTCATAAATTACATTTTAGCTCTTTACACCCAGAAGCTTTCCTCCCACTATGTGGGTCTCTAGGATTTACATTTTCTAATTCGCTGAATCAGCTGAGCAGGCATTTTCTATGCCTTTGAGAGCTTAGATACACCTGAGGTGTGTGGGGCTAGCATGCCAGTTTTGTAGCTCAAAGACTGTAGATAGAAACGCAGCAGGGCTTAACTGTTGAAGCATCTGCCCTCTGGCCCAGCAGGCCCCTTCCTGAGTCAGTGACTTGGAAAGCAAGATCCTGGCTGCAGGAGCCCCTCTTGCTCCTCACCTCACAGCACACTGGGGCACCATCTTAGTGCTCTTTCCCTGCCCCTCCATCGCCTCATCTCCATTACCTCTTCTCTCTCAGAGCTAAGCAGCAGAGCTGCTCACCTGACTCATGGAGCTGCCAAATGCAGAGCAAAGCTCTGTTGTGTCTTCAAATTGCACAACTGGGCAAAATGACCCGTGGATGAAGAACACCTAGAGTCCAGTAAGATTTCTATTGCAGATTTTTACAGGAAATGACCTGCAGAGACTTTCCAGGAATGCAGGTTGGCTCTCCCTCCCTGCCCATGACCTCAGAGGGGAAGGCTCAGGATAAATAGCAGCCTTCTCTCCCTGTCCTTCAGCGACCAGCAGATCCACTCCACCAGACATCAGGTGATTGTCAAGTGCGAGGAGTGAGTTTTTAAACCCTTACTCTACTTTCTCTTTCCTACCAACATGTGATTTTCTTTGAATGTAATGATCCTTTACGTTTTTATTTATTTATTTATCTCATGTGTGGTGTGGATTGGGTTTAGGGGACCCATGGAGAATGCATTATAGCCTCCTCTAGAGTGGCAATCTGGTCCCAACTCCCCTATCCTCTGTTGGAGCCACCATGCTATTCTCTCAGACAGACTTGGATTCAGGGCTAATGGGGTCAGAGTGAAGGCTTTTGGTACCAAGTGAGTTCCTATTGCCAGATTTCCTAGAGGAACTACTAGCACTATAATGAGAACCAGTAGAAATGAAGAACTAGGCTCTCTTAGGATATAAATGTCAAAGGGAAAGGTGCCAGTCTCATCTGTGGCTGAGTATGCCTCTCTTTCATTTCAGCACCATGAAGCTTCTCACAGGCCTGGTGTTTTGCTCTTTGGTCCTGGCAGTCAGCGGTGGGGTTTTTTCATTCGTGAGGGAAGCTGCTCAAGGTAAGGGTGGTGGAGATATGGCTCTAGGGTTTACTTGGAGCACTCTGAAGGACTGGAGCCAGTCTTATGTTGTGCTACCTTGTGTGGCAGGATGTCCCAGGTATACTGAGGAGCATTTCTTTAAAGGGAATGAAAAAAGCAAGTGTCAGAGCAGAAGTTTCCAATGAGCTATATATGAAGCCAATTTAGCCCAGTTGATGTGTCTGCTCACCACTTCCTAAAATTCCATTGTCAACAATGTCAGGCACACGTGAAATCACCTGGAGTTTAAACCTTGTGGATGCTTGGATTTTCTTCCTCCTCATATAGTCTGAGGAATTGGGCAGGGTTGTGTTCTGGGTGTCAGGACTTTCAGTATCTCCCCAGGTGATCAAAACAGGCCAACCCAGCTGAGAACCATTACACTAGGGTTTCCTCAAGCAACCATAGCATCAGTGCACTTCACTGAGCTTGCCAGAGGCACTCATGTCACAGTGATGTGCATTTAGGGTACAGAAACACATTTTCCTTGGGAGTCAGGGCAGAAGTGCCTCATGTCTGCAGCCCACTCAGGATTTCCCCTCCTGGATGCCCCCTCCCTCACTGCAATTTCTAATCACATGGAGCTTCATTCTGGAACAGTGGTTCTGGACCTGGTGTAATGTGCTGGCCCAGGGGACATTTTCAATGTGTGGCAATGTCTTTGGTTGACCCACTGGGCGAATTTGCTGCCAACATCTAGTGGCAGACCAGAGAGCTGGTGAATATCCTACAGGACTCAGGGCAGCCCTGAACAACAGAGAACCACGTGACCCAATTTTTTCAACAGTGCTGAAGGTGAGGAATCCTGTTTGACAATGACACCTCCCTTCTGTCCTTAAACATAGCACATCTAAGTATGGTGAAGCTCACCCCAGCACAGTGGACCACCAAAGACAAACAGGTGTGACCCCTAACAACTCTCACTAGAGTGACTTGCAGAAGCCAGGTAGGAATAGAGACGATTCCACTCAACTCATGATATCTATGGGTGCAAAAATCACAGGATGAAATGTTGAATATATTAATTCCTGGATCCCCCTTGAAGGTATTGTCACGATCTTTATGTATACTTGATATCCCTTTTGTCTTTTCTTTTCCAATTCAGGAAGTTGGGACATGTGGAGAGCCTACCAGGACATGAAAGAAGCAAATTTCATAGGTGCAGACAAATACTTCCATGCCCGAGGGAACTATGACGCTGCCCAAAGGGGACCTGGGGGTGCCTGGGCTGCTGAAGTGATCAGGTAAGGCAGGTTCCTGGGGATGCCAGGCCTGGGTGAGCAGAGCTTGACTGCCCTGGGGATCAGGAGGGAATGAGCCTGGCAGCAGGTTTCTGTGAGTCTTGAGTCTTCCTCCTGTCCTCTCTGCCTAGCCCTCCACCATGGTCAGTGCAGGGCCTGGGCCATTGACAGAGCCAGAGATGGCTGAGGATATGTGTGCCAACTCAGAACTAGAGAAAGGGAGGGCCACAGAGTGATCCCTAACCCTCCCTCCCTGGTGCTGTTCATCCAGGTTCAGGGTGAGGAGCCAGGCTGAGTAGGGCTGTGCCAGGCAAGGGTGGTATATCAGCCCCTCTTCCTTGATCTTCCTGGGCTCCCCTCAGTGCCATCCCCTGGACAGAAGAGAATTGGGAGGGTAGCCTGGGGTTTATCAGCCTTCTGAGGAATCTCCTTGCTGTCTTGCTTGATTTCAGTGATGCCAGAGAGAACATTCAGGAATTTTTTGGCCGAGGACATGAGGACTCCCAGGCAGACCAGGAAGCCAACAGAGCGGGCAGGAGAGGAGAAGACCCTAATAAATACAGACCTAAAGGGCTGCCTGATAAATACTGAGCTTCATCTTCATTTTGTCTCAGGAGACTGACTGTGAGCCCCCAAAGATTGGGATATGAAATCACTGCATCCTCTGTCCATATAAATGGATAGATGGCCCACAGTCGTTGTTCAATAAATGCATAAGAGATGGAAATTCTAGCATGTGGGTGTTATAGTTCACATTGAGGGTGGGATGTTTGGTACAAAGTGGTGAACAATAAACACCAGGATGATCCAGCCTGGACCTCAGTGTGTAGGGGATGTGATTTCAGTGGTCACACAACACAGACAGATACTGGCACTGAGCCTTCTCAGAATCAGACTCTCTCACTTGTTCAGGCCCCCGTGGTTAGCTGTTGCTATTTCCAGGCCTTTCCATGTCCTGACCACCTCACTCCTGACAACTGTGTCCTATCACCTTCTCTGCCCCCAGGGCCTTAGTCCTCAGTTCGTCTGCCTTTGGAGACATGGGGCATGGCTATGGGAAGGCTGGCTCTGTTATCCTGCCCCAGATACCACCATCTTGGTTTTCTGCTTAGTTTTTAGCAACATCTGCAAAGCCAATTATTCACCAATTTCTGTTCATTCTATCCAAGAAATACCTTCAGAGCAGTGTCTCCCACTCTATTTTTATTGCCTTATTTCAAGCCTAAATAAAGATGTAAGTGAACACCACTTGTGGTGTTGTATTTGTGAAGAACAGTCATGGTGGAAAAGATCTCCTTATCAGTCAGGTCCTTTAGGAGACAAACCAGGCAGAGATTTGAAAAGGGAAATTTTAATACTAGGAATGCTTAATTATCAACAATAGTTACCACCATGGATAATAAATCAGGAGGGTATAAACTTTGTATGATCCTCCCTAGAGGTAGACATTTGGTTCTCCTAGGCAAATCTATAGCCCATTACATGGAGAGAATGTTTTGTTGGGTGCCATAGTCAAAGCTGAGAAACAGGAACTCTATAGAGATAGCAATAGAACTTGATAGCATGCTGTCCAGGAGCCACTGTGCTCACTGGGAATGTGGGGTGAGGGAGCTATAAACCTGCTCAGAAGCTGTTCTCATGGGAGTAGCAGAAAACATGCTACTGATCTCTCTGGGAAGTCAGCTGTGGAAGGGATAGATTTCTGAGTGAGTTGTATGCTCTCCACTTCATGTGCTGAAGCCTTTTTCCCAGAGTGGCTTTATTTGGACCTGAACTGATAGTCCTTATGAGTGAAGACAACAAAGAGCTTCTCTCTCTCTGAAACCCACAAGGTCACAGTAAGGAGGTACATGTTTGTAAGCCAGGAAGAGCACAGTCACCAGGTGCTCAATTAGCGTGTACCTTCATCTAGAACATCCTGGTGTTCAGAATTTCGAAAAATAAATATCTGTGTGGAAGCCACCTGTGGTACCTTGTTATGGCAGCTCAGGCTAGCAGAAGTGGAGTGCTGTTGAACACACTGAAAATCTAATTGAGGTGCCACAGAAATTGTTGAAACAACCACGTCCTTCAGGTTTCACTAAAACTCCCTGGGCTGAGTGTCACTGGGTGTGGCAGGGGAGGATCCTCACAGGAGCCTGGGAAGCCAAAGCAGGGCACCAGGAAGATCTTCATTTCCCCCTATTTCTCCATTGCCCTCTACTGACAGAGATTAGCATCCTGCACAGCTGGCCAGGGTGAGGTGTTTAGAGGGTCCAGCTCCAGGACCACAGAGAGTCAAGGAAATGTGGATATGGGGCTCAAAGTAAACAAATTGATTACTGGTCTCCATTTTTGCTTTGAAAGTGGAATGAAGGAGGACTCTTAAGGGTAGGAGATTGATGAGAATGTGAGATTTATAAGCTAAAGTCATTAAATTAGTTGTCAATTTGATTAGTAGGGAAACTGTTGCTATAGTAAATCCCAAGAGAACTTTCTCATATAGTTCTTATCTGAAAGCACTAGTAGACATGGAGGTAAAGGAGATTTGGGATATTTGAGGGTGAGTTTATTTCACAATAAGACATGGGCAAGATCAACATGACTGTATGGATATTGACATCAGACTGGCTGGTGAGAGCATTCTCAAGGCATTTTAACTTAGGGTTCAGGGAGGGTCAAGTTTGAAGGTGTTAAAAATTGTCAAAAGACAGTAATGCTCAGGACAGCACTGTAGATCAGTTGTAGAGCGATTGCCTAGCACATGTGAGGCACTGATTTCGATCCTCAGCACTACATAAAGAAAAGAAAATAAAAGTATTATGTCCATGTACAACTAAAAAACTACTAAAATGGGTACAGAAATTCATTCACAAATTTGTAATGGATCACATTGTCATGGGAGAAGAGGTGACTCCTGAGTAGGGTCTGAGAAGCTCCCAGAGGGAAAGGGAAATTCAACTCAGGACCAGTGGGGATCTTGGCATGCATAAGGGAATAGCATTTCAGACTGAGCCACAGACAAAGGCATAGACAGGTTTATTTAGGACGTAGGTGCACACTCAAGGGAAAATGTGGGCTATCTCAGGAGGGCAAAGTCCCTCCTTGGGTTGGGAAGGTCCGACATTTATAGAGGAGCTGTAGTTTGGGACCAGTCTGGAGATAGAGCCAGGGTGGAGCTGCATAATTTTGTGCCACTTTTCCCTGAACTTGTGTATTTCCTTCATTTTACAAGGGAGCAGGCCAAGGGCAAGTTGCTCAAGGTGTACAACTCTCCTTTCTGCATCTCAATGGCTCATGGGTATTTCCTTTCAGATTTGGTATATCCCTATATCCTAAATTCCTAACTCAACATCATTTGACTTCTTAGAATTTGTAACCTAAAAATATATCAGAGTTTAATCCAAAGAAGAAAGTACTTGTTTACTCAAGAATTTATGATTTATATTGTCACCCTTTATCCTTACGCTTGAATATACGGAAACACTTTTTTTTTTGTTTTCACATATTTTTAAGAGCTATCATGTGGAAAATGCCAAGTTGATCTTATTTTATTATATACTAACTAAGTTTTTTTGCTTCCAAAACTCTTTTTATTAGTGACCTTGTTTGTTTGCTTGTTTCCTATTTTGTGTTGGTGGGGATCCAACTCAGGGCTTCATTCGTGCTAGGCAAGCACTCTATCACTGAACCACATCTCCAGCCCCTGTTAATGACTTTATTTTGCTCAAGGAGTACTAAGTTTTTCATTAGTATGTGGTTGCAAAGCCTGTAATCCCAGCGGGTCAGGAGGCTGAGACAGGAAGATCGCACCTTCAAAGCCAGCCTCAGCAAAAGTGAGATGCTAAGCAACTCAGTGAGAACCTGTCTCTAAATAAAATACAAAATAAGGCTGGGGATGTGACTCAATGATTGAGTGCCCCTGAGTTCAATCCCCAGTACCCCCCGGAACTACAAAAGACTATGCATGGCCTTTGGAGCTTGTTCTCAGTATCTACCATTGGAGTCTCCATTTGTTAGAAGTCCTGAGAAAAGTTGGATTCAGCAAAATAGACTGAAAAGGAACAGCTATTGGGGAAGGAGGACTGGAGAATGTGGAGTTCCAGAATCAGTGTCAGTAGTATTTGAGAGGCTGTGAAGTTGACCCTTGCCTAAGCAATGTGGAGTGGTTGCTGATCTTGTTAATGTGGTTGCAGAGGAAGAGTGGCCTGAGGCCTAGTGAAACAGGTGTAGAGAGAATGGCAGGGGAGGACATGGGACTCCTGAACACCCCACACATCAACTGAAACACCCATACAGACAAGGAGACAGTTGAGACAGGTGGTGGGCAACACAATTTGTAAAAATCATCAACAGTGTTTTTGGAAGCAAAAACTAACAGGTAAAGGAAATAACAGAAAATGAACCTCAACTACTTCTAAAAAAGGAGAGCAACGAAGGCAATGACGACATTGAATAATGTCTGAATAAGTACGACAGTGTAGTACTGAGCCATGTACAGGAAAAACTAGTCAATGGAACAAAAATCTCCATGAGTGCGTATGATAATTTAGTACATAATAAAGACTGTATGTCAAAGTAGTAATAAGGGAGGGGTTATTCAATGAATGGGATTGGGACAATCAGGTAATCATCTTAATGATGTAAAGTTGAAAACATATTTTGATATGTTAAGACAGGTTCTAAATGTACTTCATATTTACATAATAATGCAAATATTATCAACATTTTAAAATTTTAAAAGTAATGAATAGTTACAAAATAATGAAAATATTATAGCAACAATAAAATCTGCAGCAACCATGGAACATGAAGTAGGGAATGTCAAACTATACCACAAAATTTAGAGGGCACTAATGAAAATATCAATAAAGAATATATAGAATTACTTTGCATACTGAGTCACCACAGGAAAATATAAATGGCAAGCTGGAAAAAATAATTGTAACTCATATCAAAGAAAAAGGGCTAATTTTTCCTTGTATAAAAAATTCTTGGTGTCTGGTGTTTGGCTCAGCATAAAGTGCTCGCCTTCATGTGTGAGGCACTTGGTTCAATCCTCAGCACCACATAAAAGTAAATAAAGAAAATAAAGATACTGCACTCATGTACAATTAAAAAATATTTTTTTAAAAAATTATTTATTATTGCTGTATATATATATATATTTGACTGCATGACCAATGTGATTCTGCAACCTGTACACTCAGAAAAATGAAAAATTATACCCCATCTGATTCAAATATATGATATGTCAAGATCATTGTACTGTCATGTGTAACTAAAACAAAAAAGAAAAAAATTTCTTGCAAAATAATAAATAAACACCCCACACACCAATAAGAAAAATACCATTTTGAACAGAAGATATCAATGTATAATCCCTAGAAAATACAATTGGCTCTTTTTAAAAATTTTTTAAATATTTCTTTTTTATTTGTTCTAATTAGTTATACATAGCAGTAGAAGCAAATGTCTCTTAAACATAGTGGAGGATGTGAAATAAAACTCATGATAAGAGAAATGCAAACTAAAATTTCACTGAGCTATATTTTATCTACCAAAATTTCCAACACCAAAAGGTTTGAGAGTATGAAACCAGCCATTCTCACTCATTTTGGTGAGAGTACAGATTGATAGAGACCTCATGGAAGGTAATTTGTGATTTACAAAAAATTTTTAAAGTCTCATATCTTTTCATCAGGTCATTTACTTAAAAATTAAAATATTTGTACATATGTCAGGGATGTATAAACAGTAAATGAAACATAGGCCTGTTTTGTTTACAATATCAAAATATGAGTAACACTCACAGTGGCCATCAATATTGTGTGGTGTAATTATGGTCTATTCAAACAATGGAATCATGTGCTGCTGTTAAAAACAAACAAACAAACAAATAAATAAATAAATAACACAAAACTGATATGGAAGGACTTCCAAGGTATATTAAATTTTTAAAATATAAATAATATATGTTAGTATGAAAGCAAAGTATCTACCTTTCGTCTATCTTGAGTCTACTACCTAGAAGACCCTCACCCTTGATCTTCCTGCTGTATGCCCTTCCTTCCTCTGTTCTTCCAGAATCATTACTTCGTCCCTTGGCTGGTAGATCCAAGTCTTACTTATCCCTTGTCCTTAAATTCCTTAGGAAAAAAGGCACAAGAGATAAGCAAACATTTCTTTTGCAAATAGTTAGTATTGATGACTTCTTAGAGCATAATATCTCTGTGCAACTTTGGCAGGTGAGAATGGAAGGCCACAGATGGGAAAAGTGGAGAGAGACCCTGGTTCTCCTACAATTTATTCTGCAAGTACAACTATTTTCTGTGATGATAGAAAACTATAAAAAGAGAGAGAAAAATGGCAATTAGGAAACATTTCCAGAAAACTAAAACCTTGGGTAACCCAATTTGGAAATCTACTGTGAATAAACAAATTCTGTTACCTAATATGCTGATCTTTTATTTACTGAGAAGGGTTGAGCAAGAGGGTTTTTGCCAAGGCAGGTTGTTGGAACCCCTCTTCCCATTAATACTGAAGTCAGGAGAGACACCAGGAGCTGCTTCATCGCAAGAAGGTCCTAGAAGCCCTGCTTCCCCTGGAATTTTAGCTGGAGAAAAGGCCACAGGTGACTCTGTCTTCCAGGGAGAAATATTGTCTTGTTTTATTTTTGAGATCCATTTCTCATACAGTTAGTACATTCTAATTGGGAAGAAATCGTGTGTTCTGTTTCTTCATGGGGTCAGTGCTGAGCAGAGTAGGCACTCAAGAAATGCTTGTTGATTGATTTTAGCCTATTTTATTGGGTGCAAATGGGCCACAAACCAATAACACTTTGGATCGCTCTCTTTTCCCCCTAATGATCTGGCGGGTTTATGCTTCTTCCCCAACCTGTTTCAAAATTTTTTTAATATTTATTTTTTAATTGTAGTTGAACACAATACTATTTATTTATTTATTTATTTTTACGTGGTGCTAAGGATCCAACCCAGGGCCTCGCACTCGCTAGGTGAGCTCTGCTGCTGAGCCACAACCCCAGCCCCATTTTAATTTTTTTATACAGTAACAATTCTAAGATAAACAAATGGAAATGCAGAACTAGGCTATCTTTGAAATTCCAAACCTCAGAAACTAGATCTAATTCTGCTGCTCTTCCTTTCCTTTCAGCACAATGAAGCTGTGCACAGGAATTGTTTTCTGCTCCTTAGTCCTGGGAGTCAGCAGTGAAAGCTGGTATTCATTCTTCAAGGAGGCTATCCAAGGTAAAAACCTGGAGGATGGGGAGCACATCCAGTGGTCCCCAGGACTCATCTGAGCAGAGGCCACATAACTGCAAGATGTGGGTTCTCCTGAGAAGCCACAGATGGGGCAGAGCAGGAGTGTGGTTTTCTGTATCTGTTTCTGCTTCCACATTTGGACCCAGCCTGTGCTACTGGTGTTTTGTGCAGAGGGATCTGGAATTCCAATGGGGAGCTCTCACTGTGGGAATTCACAGATGGAAAATTTCTTAGTCCTAGAGTGTGGTTGTGAATTCATATGCCCCTGGAGGCTAGAGGTGGCTGAGCTGAATAAATATTATGCTTTATCCCAGGGAGGGAGAGTGCCTGGGACAGAGGAGAACAGCAGCACTTGCACAGAGAAATCCCACCCTGTCCCAGACATATGGCCAATGACTGGGATGCAAAGCTCACGGAGATTAACTTCTAACTTATAGCTGTGTATTAAAAAGAGAAAGCTCTCACTGATTAGCCACTCTGAGATGAGATAGGGTGAGGAAACTGACACCGGTCTTTCCTGATGGAAAAGAAGCTTGTCGGCCAATTGTTAAAATGAAAAAAATATGTTGTTAGATTTTGTAATACTTTGAACTTGAAGTGTATTGTAATTAATTTTGCAACTGAATTTTTATAGATTCTTAAGTGAATGTGTATGAATTCCAATTTTTCTAAATTTTAAACTTCATGTGGTTTTGTTGTTGATTGTGGTGCTGGGGATGTAATCCAGGTCTCCAAGCACACTAGGCAAGTGCTCTATACTTGCTATCTCCCAAGCCCTCATGTGCTATTTTTAAAATGAAAAAAAGTCTCTGAATAACAGCTTTTAAAAAGAATTTTGTTGGTAATTGATAATTTTTTCTATGTATAATGAAGAATATCTTCTTCTTTAGGTCAATGTATTTCAGAATTTGTTGTGTGATCCTCCAGCATTTATATCTGCTAGGTGTGTTTGTTTTAAAAGTACATCTCTTGGGCTGAGGATGTGGCTCAAGTGGTAGCAGGCCTGGCATGCGTGAGGCACTGGGTTCAATCCTCAACACCACATAAAAATAAAATAAAGATATTGTGTGCACCTAAAACTAAAAAATAAATATTAAAAAAAAGTACATCTCTCAGAGGGAGAGAAGAGGGAAGGGAAAGGGAAAATACTGGGGACTGAATTAGAACAACTTATACCAAGTTTTCATAATTATGTCAAAATGAATCCTAATGTTATATATAACTTTAAAAAAATCAATTAAAAAAAGAGAAGTGGGTAAACCAGGCTGATGAGTCAGACACAATGATATAAGCTTCCTTATATCATTATGCCTAGTCATTTGAGATAATACATCTCAGGCACTTAGTAGAGCAGTGCTAAGTTGGTAAACACATATATACATCCAAACATATTTAAAAATTAAAAATGTTAGGCTAAAGTCTAGTAATTTGCATTAATATGGAAGTTACTGCTTCCCAGAAAATATATAATATGTAAATATATCATAGAAATATAATTGTAACCAGCAAAGTAACTGTTCAATGTATTTTGAATAAACAATGACAAATGAGTCTGGTATTGTCTTTACTGGTTTCAAATTATATTTCTATGTTATATTTACATATTATATATTTTCTGGGAATGAGAAGAGCAAGACAAACTATGGTTTTCCAAGTTTTTTTTTTTCCCTCTCCCAACCTGCCTTTCCACCTGCCAACTTCCAACTTCCTTTTCAAGGTCTTTTTGTGTGTATGGTTCTGGGGATCAAATCCAGGGAATTGTACATGATAAGCAAGTCCCCTACAACTGGGCTACACCCTTAACGCTGTTATGATTTTTTTTCATCACAATTAGTTTTGCCTTTTCTGGAAATTCAAATAAATAGAATTATATAGTTAAAAGAAGTACATGTGCTAGTCAGAATCTTAGAAGTTAAATGGACTAGGGATCACATTTTAAACTATAAATTCCTCTGGTTAATACAAATGAGAAAGATGGTCTAAGGTTTTGCTATCACACCCAGTGACAGAATCTGTCAGATGCTTGAAGATGATGCTTGGTAAGCAATTTGAACAACATGAATGATTACTAAGTAGATATCTGAGAAAGAAGTCACTATACCATGTCAGAGATAAATTACTTGGCTGAATTATAGACACAAAGTAAGTAATACATGCAAATAGTGAGAAAGTACATAAAGAATAATTAAAACTATCCATCTCCACTTTTCTTTTGTCCAAGTGAGATGGTATAAATAAGCTGGCTTACTTTAGACCCAAGCCGTGGCAGGAATAAAAAACATTCATTGAGTGGACAACTCAGACACAAGTAAACGATTCCTGCGGTTCTTCTTCCCATAGACCTGTTCTGAGCAGCTGCTTTTCCCAGTATTCTTAAAAAAAAAAAAAAAAAAAAAAAAAAAAAAAAAAAAAAAAAAAACTTTAAAAATGAGATATAACTTACATAGAGTAAACTGTACAGTTTGACAAACTTTTACACATATAATAAACACCCATGTTTCTACCATTGGATCAAGAGGTGGAACATGCTAAGCACTCTATTAATTAAAGTTAATTAACTTTCCCAAGGGTAGCACCTATTCTTATTTCTATTATTAAAGATTAGTCTTGTCTGCTTCTGATCTTTGAATATAAGGAGTCTTGTAGAATGTATATTTTATGTCTTTCTTTCACTCAACATTCTGACCATAAAATTCATTCAAGTTGTCTTTTAATCCACCAGAAAGGTAAGTATGATTCTCCCAATTAAAAGGTGAGTTAAGGTGGAGTGTAGTTGGCAGAGCAGAGAGCTGAATATTTACATTTATGCTCTTCAGGTAAACCTCACTTCCCATGTCCTTTGGAGCTCTCCAAAGACAATTCTACCTCCTCACTTACTAAATGCCTATTTCAACAGCTTTTCTGTGCAATTTACACCCATATCAGCCAAATTTACTTAAATCAGAATTGCCTTCATACAACTTTTTTCTTCAGGCCATGATAGATGTGCAACACTCTTCTCGCTGCATCCCCCATGCAGTCCCTGGATCCTACAGATGTAGTGTCATTCTCCATTTTTTTTTTTCTCCCTTACATGACAGTCCCACCTCTTCTTTGTACACAGCATATGCAGAACCATATAAGACATAGCCTAGGTCAACAGAATTGCTAATCAATCCAATCCAATTTAATTCACTGAGAAGTAGCATTTCTAGTGTTGCATATCTTTGTCTCGATGTATAATTTCAAAGGATTACTTTGTCAAGAGCAAAAATTTGGAAGTCAGTAGAAATTTTTCATTCCTCCACTTCATCAATACATCACTAGGTTCATATTCGTCATTTTTGTTCCTTTCCAGGGACTGCGGACTTGTGGAGAGCCTATTGGGACATGAGAGAAGCCAATCACCAAAATTCAGAGAGATACTTCCATGCCCGGGGGAACTATGATGCTGCTCAAAGGGGACCTGGGGGCATCTGGGCTGCTAAAGTGATAAGGTAAAGTGGAAATGCCACTGAGCAGCAGGCAGAGCTGGTCGCCCTCCAATCCCTTCTGCCTGTGGCGTGTCCTCTTTCCATCTAGGCTTCCAGGGCCTGGATGGCCTGCAGAGTTGGTCAGTGTTGTCGCCTCTCACCTCTATAGAAAAAGCAAAAACTAGAGAGGGCATCTCAAAAGTGCCCTGTGTCAGGGTACAGAAAGAATCAGCTGATTCAATGCCTTTTCCCAAGAGCGTTGATATTTTAGTTTTTCTGTCCTTGAGGACTGACTTCTCTAGGCTTCTCTTGGTCATTCCTTGAGCATCAGGGGAGGAGGGAGTTAGGAGGCAGAGCTATCTCAGGTGTCAGATTAATTTCCTCTTTCCCCCTTCTTTGGATTTTAGCACTGCTGGCAAGTATTTTCGGGGACTCCTAAATCAGTATTATTATGGAGGTGGCCATCGTGGATGGGAGAACATTCAAGCCAACCGGAAGGCTGAAGAGTGGGGCCGAAGTGGCAAAGATCCCAAACACTTCAGACCTTCCGACCTGCCTGAGAAGTTCTGAGCTTGCCACTCCTGCTGCTGTCAGGAAATTAGGCTGGGGGCCACACACCTCTCCTGAATGCTGGGCTTCGTGTCCCAGGGACTGGTACAGGGCATCCAGAGTTGTCCAATAGATGTTTTCAAATTTAATTTCTTGATGGAAACTAGAAACTTTGAGATCGACTTTTTGAGAAAAACGGTCATCTTGTGTCACAATGAATGTAAACAGCCCCATAAAGGAGGCGCCTGTGACTGTGGGGTTGCAAGGACCCCCAACTGGCCCGTGACAATAAAGGTCCCTCACATTATCCCCACCAAAGCCTCTCTCATTCTTAGCGGTCCCAGATTCTCATGCTGAGTAAATCTGAGCTGACAAAGTACTGACCATCATGCTGGGTCCTTCATGACGTCATCATGGCTGGCACAAGTTTCACAGGCAGCCTCCCATCAATCTCTGCATAAACCCAATCATAATTATATCAACCTCTATTCTCCCCCTATTTCTGGTTTCAACCCAGGCCTCTCTCAATACAGACTCTACTCTGCTCAATCAGTTGCGTCCTGTTCACTGTCTGGCTCCAGGTCTTGTCCCCCATGACCTCCTTCCATATTGAGGGGGTACATTGCTTCAAGAAGCCTAATCCCAGGAGCCCTATCCTAGAAATCATCATCTTGGACCCCATCTTATTTCTTAACAATATCAGTACCTACCCCAACTAAATTTTAAATAGTCTCTGCTTGTTTTACCTAATGAATAGTTCTCACATTAGTTTTTCTTGTCTTTATTCTCACTGTCTTTTAACTTGGATAAAATTCTACTTCCTGTTCTAGAGGGGAAGTGAGATATGCAGATAGACACAACATTACTAAATATGAAAGGCTATGTAAAGTTTGTACCTCTTTGTTAAGGCAGAAAATCCCAGTTAATTTACTAATAAAGCCAAGATTTTCTTTCCAAAGAAGGTCAGTATAGTTTCAAGGAACAGTAAAGGATTAATAAAAAGGAAGATTCCAAAGATAAAAAGAGACAGGCTGGGTGCAGTGGCACACATCAGTAATCCCTGTGGCTAGGGAGGCTGAGGCAGGAGGATCTCCAGTTTAAAGCCAGCCTCAGCAAAAGTGAGGCGCTAAGCAACTCAGTGAGACCCTGACTCTAAATAAAATACAAAATAGGGCTGGGGATGTGGCTCAGTGGTCTAATGCTCCTGAGTTCAATCTCTAGTACACCCTCCCCCACAAAAAAAAAAAAGATAAGAAGAGATAGAATAACTGCTGCACCAAAGTCAAGCAGAAGCCTGAGGAGGTAGATCAATCCCATAGGTGATGGGTTAATTGACAAATGAGTAGAAACATCTCTTGCTTTGAGAAAAGAAGGAAGGTGAAGAGAATGAGACCAGGGGAGACAGAACATTTAAAATGGACAGCAAGAGACTGGGGTTGTGGCTCAGCAGTAGAGCACTCGCCTCTCACATGTGAGACCCTGGGTTCGATCCTCAGAACCACATAAAAATAAATAAACAAAATAAAGATATTTTTAAAAAAGGGCTGGATTGTAGCTCAGTGGTAGAGCACCCTTGAGTTCAATTCCCAGTATGGAAAAAAAAAGGGGGGGGATTCCACCTCTCGAGTCCTCTTCTTCCTCCGGGGAGAAGTCTTTTCTACTGTCCTTTATTTATTTTTTTTAAAGAGAGAGAGAGAGAGAGAGAGAGAGAGAGAGAGAGTGAGTTTTTCAATATTTATTTTTTAGTTTTCGGCAGACACAACATCTTTGTTTGTAATGTGGTGCTGAGGGTCGAACCTGGGCCGTATGCATGCCAGGTGAACGCGCTACCCCTTGAGCCACATCCCCAGCCCTCTACTGTCCTTTAATAAAGCTTCTACTTTCCACTCTAAGAAAACAAAACCAAACAAAAAAAATGGACAGCAGACCTGAGGGAGTCATGGTGACTCCTAGAGCTCAGCATGTTTCACTGCATTTGCCCACATGCTCATCATTGCTGGGGGCAAGCATGTAAGAAAACAAAGGGCAAAAATCATGGCTATCTGACTGCATGTCATTTTTTTAAAAAAATTATTTATTTATGTATTTTTTTTTTTTTTAGTTTTAGGTGGACACATTATTATTATTTTTTAATGTGGTGCTGAGGATCGAACCCAGTGCCTCATGCATGCTAGGTGAGCATTCTAGCACTGAGCCACAACTCCAGCCCCTGCATGTTAATTTTGCATTCATGTACCTATTCTAGCCCCTGGCATAGTGTAGATGCTCAATAAATATGTGATGAAATGAGTGAATGAAAAATTATTCTTCAGAAGTTAACAGATCTAGGAGGAGGGTTTAGGAAGTGTAGAAAGCATGGATGTTTTACACAAGTGTTAGCCTGTGGAATGTGCTAATGAGTCACTTCAATATGATTATGCAAATCTATACTAAAATACCAGCAAAAAAGACATAATTGTACTCTATCGCAGATAATATTTGATTTTATCTGGCAATGCTTTGCACACTGTCTCATAGAAACAAGAATTATGACTCCTATATCTAAATAAGCCATCAGTCATAATGGTATCTGATGGAAAGCATTGGGAGAAAGGAATAAATATTTTGAACTTCCAAAGTACTGTGCTCACAGAACACACTGTGAGCCACACTGAATTTCTCTAAGACACCATATTCTTAAGGATGCAGTATAATTTTTAACTGCCAAGAGAAACATGCTGCCAATTACACTAAGACATAATGCTTTCTTATCACCCAGAGATTTATTTTACACTTAATGAAAATGTTTAGACTCACTTAGACATAGATTTTGGTCTTATATCACTTTGTGTATATACAGAAAGGAAAGCATAAAAAAATAAGTATTCCTAAAGCAATGAAGTGCTTAATGAATGCTAACTTGTTTTTAGAGAATCTTTCTCAAATTTATTGATTATAAATTTCTCAAATCCAATATAATTTGAGAAATTTATAATCAATAAATGTGTGTCTTAGAAGTGATTAAGTATGATATTTAAATTTAAACCTAGATAGGTTCTCTCTTATTGTATTTACTGAGAAGGAATAATAAACTTTTAGTCATTAATCACAAAGTTTTTAAAGAACCCCCCCCCCCCACCGTAGGAATGTGACCTTTAGCCTCAAAGCATGGTATGACCACATACTTGGAATGCATCACAGAGTTTACTTAATCCATAGCAAATAAAAGGACATGGAATTTGTTTATTTATTATAATTAGCCTTGGAAAATTGGTTCATGCATACATCCTTCATAAGGCAGAAAATTCCAGATTCTGTGAAACTACATAAGGCTTAGTCTGTTTTCTGTTGCTGCAACTTAATATTATAGACTGGGTGACTTTTAAAGAATAGAGGTTTACCAGGCTCAATGGTGCATGCCTGTATTCCCAGCAGTTTGGGAGGCTAAGCAGGAGGATCACCAGTTCAAAGCCAGCCTTGGCAACTTAGGGAGACCCTAAGCAACTCAGTGAGACCCTAGCTCTAAATATATACATATATTTAAAGGGCTGGAGATGTGGCTAAGGGTTACGCACTCCTGGGTTCAATCACCAAAAAAAAAAAAAAGAAAAGAAAAGAAAAAGAAGTGGATTATGTAGCTCATGTTTTGTAGGTGGGAAGTCCAAGAGCAGGGTGCCAGCACCTACCTGGTAAGGGTCTTCTCATTGCATCAAAACATGGCGGAGGACACCCTGGTAAGACAGGGCAAGTGTGCTAGCTCAGGTCACTCCTCCTCTCCTTATAATGCCATCATGGGAATTCCATCCTCATGACCTCTTCTAATTATAAATAAGGACCCTATCTCCAAATACTGTTAACATGTAAATTTGGGGATTAAGTGTTTAACACATGAATTTTTAGGGGACATATTCAAACTTGGTAGATGCTATGTCAGGACCCTGGCTGGAAAGAGAGGACACATTCAAACAGGTACTGTGAGGAGAATTTGATAAGGGACTATGAAGTACTGGCACAGTACAGAGCAATCACAAGGGCTGGGCCATGCCTTGGTCTAGAAATTACCTGTGTGTCTGGGGGAAGTGGGGACATTTTACCCTTTAGACCTAAGGCCTAGAGGATGGAGTGACTACTGAAATCAGGGATGGAGAAGGAGAAACAGGGAGTCAGGAGAAAAGAGAATGCCAGAGACAGAGATCTGTGTGGACAGGGTTCCTGACAGGAGTTTGTGATCTTTCAGTTTGTGGTGACTATATGCTGAGGAAGTTGTGAGAATAAATCATCAAATCTCCCTCTCCTCATCTCCTGCTAGCAAGAAGTCAGAGACAAAGGTCTATATAGTCCAACCACCTAGAACAGAAGGCAGAGTGAAGAGGGCAGAAGGTGGCTCTTGAGGAGCCTCAGGCAGCTCTCCTATAGCTGTGGGGGATTGATTTTGTAACTGGGGCTTGTGCCAACTGATAACCTTTGTTTCTTGTGGGACGCTATCTTATGTGAAGGTTGTTGCCTCAGGACTTAAAGACCATTACTGATGAAACTTGTAGATGCTTCAGGGGGACTGGAAGGGCAAGGGGGGAGGGTACAACAAAGGTTACCGGTAAAGCCAGATGCAGCTTGCAAACCAAGGCTCTCTATTATTATAAACACATGACATGAATACAGTACATACTAGACAAAGGTGCCATAAACATATATTGGAGAAAAGAGCCTCTTCAACAATGGTGCTGGGAAAACTGGAAATCCATATGTAGCCAAATGAAATTAAACCCCTATCTTTACCCTGCACAAAATTCCAAGTGGATCAAGGACCCAGGCATTAGACCAGAGACCCTGTACCTACTAGAAGAAAATGTAAGCCCAACTCTCCATCATGTCAGCTGAGGAACTGACTTCCTCAACAAGACTCCTAAAGCACAAGAAATATAATCAAGAATCAATAAATGGGATGGTATTAAACTAAAAAGCTTCTTCCCAGAAAAGGAAACAATTAAAAGCATGAAGAGAAAGCCTACAGAATGGGAGAAAATCATTGCCACCTGCACCTCAGATAGAGCATAAATCTCCATAATATATAAAAAACTCAAAAAACTTAGCATCAACCCCTCCCCAAAGAACCCAATCAATAAATGGGCAAAGGAACTGAACAGGGAGTTCACAAAAGAAGAAATACAAAGTATCAACAAATACATGAAAAAAGGCTCAACATCTCTAGCAATTAGAGGAATGCAAATTAAAAAACACACTGAGATTTTACCTTACTCCAGTCAGAATGGCAATTATCAAGAATACAAGTAACAATAAATGTTGGAAAGGATGTGGGGAAAAGGCACA